GTCTTTATTTTACAGTTAAAACATATGTTTATCAAATAAAGTCTAATGTTATAACTAATCCTGGATCCCTTTAAGAGACAGACATAAATAACCGATTGCATTATGATCGCTCTGCGGTTCATCCAAGTTTGAGTCTTTAGTCAATTAGTAACGCTAGCTCTGTGAGCTTTAAGCCAACAGGTAGTGTCAAGTGCAGTTGTTGGAAAACCTTTGTAATTCTGACAAATAAATTACCATAGAGAAACTGTAGAGAAACTGTTCATGTTCGTTGCCATGCAGAAACAAGTTTATTCAAGCTCATCATGAATAAAATGTGGCTATTTAATCTCCAAATGTTACAGTTTTTCTTTGACGTTAAATTGTGTTTGGTAAATTATTTCTTTGTTTTAAAAATGCTTCTTGACAGCAAATCTTATAACATTGTAAAGCCTGTTAATTTTCCRTTTAAAATGGTGCCACATTTGTAAGGAACATGCATTTATAGATGAACAGTAGAGCTGAGTGTGTGGGCTGTGCAGATGAAAAATTTGCCAACTCTTCTTTGCCAAACAGCTAATTTTACTGTTGCAATTGACAGTTTGGAGCTTCTGGTACCCCCAGGTTCTGCCAATCATTATTGCCAAGAAGCATTGTTACAACAAAGAAATAATCTACCAAACACAAATTCTCTTACTTTTTGTGCTAATGACTGAAATCACATTTAATAATGTTTTGTTTTCAAAAAGCTAACTCCTCTACCACTTTTTTGTCATTTGTCATTCTTGCCAGCTGTACGAGCGGATCGAATGCGTGGTGGTCGCAACAAGTTCGGCCCAATGTACAAACGTGACCGGGCCCTCAAGCAGCAGAAGAAAGCACTGATCCGAGCAAACGGCCTAAAAATCGAGGCCATGAGCCAGGTGATGCAGGCCGTACCCACTGACCTCACTATCTCCTCAGCCATCCAGAACATCCACTCAGCAGCCTCCAAGGGCCTTCCATTAAGCCACCACGGTGGCCACCACACCAGTCACCATCACCACCACCATCACCACCACCATCACGCCACTGCCTTGCCCCCTACAGACTACGACCGCAGCCCGTTTGTTACCTCTCCGGTCAGTATGGCGATGCCGCCACACGCAGGCAGTCTCCAGGGCTACCAAGCGGCCTATGGACACTTCCAGAGCACACGYACCATCAAGTCTGAGTACCCAGATCCATACACCAGCTCGCCAGAGTCCATCATGGGCTACGCATACGTTGATGCCTACCAGACAGGCTCTCCGCCCAGCTTCCCCCACCTGATCGTTGAGCTGCTAAAGTGCGAACCCGATGAGCCACAGGTTCAGGCAAAGATACTGGCTTATCTACAGCAGGAGCAGGCCAGCCGGGGGAAGCACGAGAAGCTCAACACCTTTGGGTTGATGTGCAAGATGGCYGACCAGACACTCTTCTCCATTGTAGAGTGGGCACGCAGCAGCATTTTCTTCCGTGAACTTAAGGTTGGTGTGCATGGTTTACTGCAGTCAGACTGTTGTTTGAATTTGAAAATGTTTATCAAGTTTCTGTTCAGAGTAACAAAAAGGTCACTTTAGCTTTTTTTCAGTGATTCTGGTCTCTAATCCCAAATAGATCATGTCAGTGTCTCTGACTTCAATTGAATTTCCTATCAATGCATTGAATCCTGGTAAAAAAAGAAAAAAGAAAAAAGTAATTAAACAAGGAAAGTTCTGAATCTGAGCTCTGCTTGAGTCACTAAATTAGGCATTCATAAAAAATCTGAAGATCAGAATTTGCTTCAAAATAACTAAGAACATATTTTTTTACAGTATGGGATACAAATTAAAACAATAAAAACATGAACCTCACAAATACCAAACTGACTACAGCATTATTATTATTTTTGCTGATCATGGTGTGCAAAAATAAGTTGTGACATGTATTTACACACTCGTACCTTTTTGTTGTTGCTGTTCTGAATAAAGGTTAATGCTTTGATTCGTCTGCACTCACCTGTTTTCCATCCTCTTGTTTGGTTCCTTTTCTTTTCCATTTGTTCCACAATGCATCGCCAAAGGCTCAGCTGCATATTCATGGCCCTGTTGCAAAACCCCCTCCAAATATTGAACCTAATTTTTTTAATAATAACTAGAAAAAGAAAAACATCATAGGCTACTAAAAACAGAGCCAATTACAAAAACGATAAGAGTCCTTGAAAAACACATGTTGACATTTAGCATGCGGTGTGTCCCCACTGTTGACCTTTTTGAGAACAGTATTTGCATTTGCCATAAATGCACATCACACACACACACAAATACACGCGCACAAAGACCCACTGAAGGGTGTGGTTACAGCTAATAATTGTGTGTAGTTTGCTCATTAATTTTGAATGATCATTTCTGCTCCATTGTGAAGCCTCTCTATTTCTCACACCCTCCGTCTAATTCAATTATCTCACCCACTAGAGTTTGTCACTCCCTGAATTGCCGCTGAATGAGCTGTCATTATGTTTGCCTAATGACAGTCCGTATTACTCTATCTTCATAGTAATTGAGAYGAGTGCTTGTTACAAAGGTATAAAATGACCTGAGCTCAATGCAGGCAAAAAAAAGCTTTCCACCATTGCATTTAGGGTAACATGGAATTGCATTTTGTTCAATTGAGGGAGATAATTGAACTCGCCTGTCTAATCTCCTTAAAAAAACAACCTTACCTAAAGCACAAGAGGTTTAAATAAATAATACACTAGTTCTGACATATTTCCCCACATGTCTGACTGTCTTCTTTGCTTGTTGCGCAAGTGTGAGTTCTGCTGGGCAAAGATTAGCATACAGTCTGGCAACAGTCTGCCAGTCATCATCCAAGCAATACTATTAGTTTTATTCTTTCTTTGTGAAAACTCCACACATTTTAAAGTCATTGTAAAGCCATTCACTGTTTAAATATTGCCTCTCATATAAGCTGAGCTGAGTTCTGGCTTGTGTAATAATTTTGTGGCATGCACTGTTTGGGTTTGTAAGCATGATTATCTGTTTTATTGTCAGTTTTTTGACKTTTTTATATCTTAGGCCAACACTAAAATGTATGGGAAGAAATGATTGTCTCGCATTGCATTAAGTGTGTGAATTTCTGATTCTCTTGAATGTATATTCAAGTTGCACACTTTAATTTTTACTACAAATTTTGGCAGTAGTAAAAAGCTGATGTGTGTGGAATGCTGCTTCAGATTAAATCACTAGAAAAACTGTAGGTCGTTTCAGCAAATTGAATACATTTAACCTTTGACATCTTCTGCTAATACTGTTCTGACCATTAAGCATGAGGTCGGGTCTGAAACCAGAAAGACAGGAAGCAGGGCTAAATGAAAAGTTTGTTACAAGACTGTTGTGGCACTGTAGGAAGTTATAAATGTACTTTCAAACGCATACAGTCACAGACACCACTCACACACAACGTGCAGCTCCCCTCTCTCTCTATTATTAGCTCTGTAAGAACAAAAGAATCTCTCTTGTTATGCAGCCAAGCTGGAAGGGTGTGTGTAAGGCATCAGCCAAAAAAATTAAGTGTTTAAAGATTTAGTTTCCATAAGCTGGCCTCGGTCACAATACATAAATATGTTACCATTAGGAGAACTTTAAAGCACGTGCTCTGGTGTTTTCCAGTGCGGCGGCACACTTGGGTCTCTTTCTCTCCCCTCGTTTCTTCTGGGAATGAGACATGACGTGAGGGACATTTATTTCTAACACATTGGATCTATAAAGTTAAAGTTTGCACTTTAATGCCAACTCTGCCCTTTAATGCCCAACTCTGCCAATTCTGCCCTGGTTTTGATCAGTTTCACACGTCCATACGTCACACGAAGCAATTCTGTTTCACTGCTTTTTGTTTTGTTTTAATTACAGACATGTTAAAGAAAATAAAGTTGCAGGGTTGAGGTCATGGTCACCATGTTTTAAAATGAATTTTAAATGTGCAGAAGACAGGTGCATTTGTGGAAAAGATGCATGCTTACTGTACTACAGTGCCTGGATGTGCTGTTAAAATTAACATGAGCTGTGGGTTGCTTTCATGCTGCAGTTAAATACATTTTTGTAATATGTGTTATGTTTTATTAAGATTGGATAAAGTTATCTTGTGGAAAATCTTGAGCCTTGGCTTACTCCACTTTGAGCACGTGCACACACATAACTCCTCCAACAAAGGCCATTTTAATTTTTCCAAAGGAAACAGCAGGGGTGTTTTAGAACAGGGTGATGTTTAATGACTGTCAGTAACTTCATGGCTGAAAAATGTACTTTTCACAGGTGCTTGTGTTTGATCTAAGAATGTCTGTTCCAGGATCTGTAAATGTTAATATGCATTTCAGAGTATAAAAGCTGCAAGAACCATAACATTTTAGACTGTATTTGATTTAAAATTTGTGCATGTGTTTTGTTGCCAGACTGTTCATTCTGAAGTGATATTGAGTAAGTTTCTGAGAGTCACGGCAAGCAAAATGTCCTGAAATCTAGTGCTGGAATATTATTAAAAAGGAGCTTTTATGTTTTTTAGGACCTGGTGTTGGTCTTTGGGTGACCATCTCAGAAAATTTATTGTGCCTTTGAGTCACCTCCGATGGACTTTTATTCCCACGTCAAGGAGTGCCTTTGGTTTGCACAAATGCCTGCAACTGTCACGGCATTATGTAAATGCCAGGATGCACATTTTCCCAGCAGAACATTGCGTGGTAACAAATTTAGCAACATTTTTCACTTTAGCTCAGAACATGACTAATAATCGTTTTCCATAAAACTATTTTAGTACTTAATCTAGAAAGAGTCATTTAAATTTTACAAGTGCTCCCATTGTTTAAGCATGCTCAAAGGAAGAGAAACAAATGTTTTTTTGTTTTGTTTTGTTTTGTTTTTTCTCTCGGGGACACTTGCTGGTACTCCCACCCTCTTCCTTCATCCTCCCTCACTCTAATATGAATCCCTATGATCCCCCTGCTGCCAGCTGCTACGTTAAAGAACACATACCATAAAATATACTTGAAGGCTTCGTAAAGAGACCTTTTAACAGAAGCTGGTGTTACATTTTTTTATATCTGTGTAAGAGTGAGCTTAAGGTGAATTAAGCTTTTCCCACATCTCTCATTCACAAGGTTATGAGGAAACTTTTACCAAGGTATTTCTCATTACTTGTTAATATCTTGACTGTGCGAAGTGAAAAGTGACACAATAAATGAACGTTCAGATGAGTTCAAGTTGATTCATAAAAGACTATGCAATCATTTATTTACACAAACTGAACAGATCATAAGTTACACTTGATTGTGGTCATTCCTATAACAAGCATCAGAGTTAAATGAGATAAAACCCGAGTCCGAATTTCAATTCACATCAACTCAGATTACTTATATAGAACAGTAAAACGTCAGTTCTGATGTTAACAACCAAACAATTTTACTGGCACTTTTAGCTTAGGTTTTGGCAAATTAAGAACGAGGAAAGGAGGAAAGTAAGATTAGTATGTTACTACGACTTTTACTTTTATCAAAGTGTGGGTCAACCAGAACTGCACGTCTTTTCTAAGCTCAGGTTCCATATGACACGTCACTCCGAACACATCAGCTTTATCTGGTGATGACTTCTTAAGACACCCTCGGGGTAGGAGCTGGTTCGCCTCCGATCTGTCAGGGAATAGATGTCGGCTCGCTTACTGGTCATTGGCGAACAGGTGTTTTTCCAGGTAACTTTCGTCTGTTTCAGTCCAAGCCAGAAAAATTCAAGCCRTATCCGGTTCCTCCTTCCAAAATAAAATCTCCCCTCGGGAGTTAAAAACACACTTAGAGGCTCGGCCTCGGGTTGAGACCACCGGCAGGCGTGCCGGGTCCCTGGCTGTGAAGTCTTCTCTAATTAGCTCATGGGATCAGACGTTAAGCCAAACTGAGGTTTCTCCGGAGAGAATCCCAGCTGTCTTCCTAGGTTGGAATCAGGMAGAAGAGTGTGTCGCTCAAAGACGTCCGGGTTAGTAAAAGAAACGGACAAACTTTGATTCCGCCCTCAGGCTTATGCTGCGTTCACACCGAACGCGATTTCAGCTTCAAAATCGCAGCCAACGCTGAAGTTTGAAGCTCGTGCACTTTGAGGTCAGACGCAGGACAGTTGTTGAAGCGCCGCACGGCGACAGCCGCCCCGCCCCYCCCTCCTCTGTCGGGCTCCGTTTAATGTCGGACGAGGAAGTGGCTTTGCTTTATTTACAGACAGCCAGAACGTGTCACGTTCATCAGATAATTAATTCATAATTAATTCACCAGATAATTCAGAGAAGAGGCTCACAGCTGCTTTCAGGACTATTTTTTTCAGTCTGATGAGTCGCTGTCACGCATTGCTGCGGATCAGGACACGACTGCAGCACTCATTTTAGCTAAAGAGCAGGAGCTCTGTCTGTTTCAGGTTAGTGGACCTCATTCAGTAAACTGTCCCGTCGGGAAATATGTCACTACGTCACACAGTGG